GCAGGCGCCGCAGCCCGGGGCTCACGCAGCTCCGCAGCACGGCCTCCGCGCGGTGCAGCGAGCGCGCCAGCCCGCCGCGCGCCCCTGCCCGTGGGACGGGATGGGATGTGCTGTCAGCGCCGGCGGCACCGCAATGGGGCGTGAGCCGCACGGTGCCCAGCAGCGCTCACCGTGCTCGGCTGGCGCAGCTGGCTCCGGTGGCTCCCGCAGCTCCGGCAGCTCCAGTGGCTCTGGCAGCCCCGGCAGTGGCAGGACACAGCCCGGTGGCCCCGGTGGCTCTGGCAGCTCCCGTGGCCCCGGTGGCTCCCGCGGCCCCGGCAGCCCCGGCGGCTCCGGTGGCTCCGGCAGCCCCGGCAGCGGCAGGACGCAGCCTGGTGGCTCCGGCAGCCCCGGTGGCTCTGGCAGCCCCGGCAGCGGCAGGACACATCCCGGTGGCCCCGGTGGCTCTGGCAGCTCCCGTGGCCCCGGTGGCTCCCGCGAACCCAGTGGCTCCCGCGGCCCCAGCGGCTCTGGTGGCTCTGGCAGCCCCGGCGGCTCTGGTGGCCCCGGCAGCCCCGGTGGCTCCGGCAGCCCCAGTGGCTCCGGCAGCCCCGGCAGCGGCAGGATGCAGCCCGGTGGCACGTGCGCCATGAGCAGCAGCAGCCCCGTGTCCAGCTGCGGGACCAGCAGGGTTGGTCACCCCCGCAGCCCCCGCCCGTCCCCCATTGGGACCCTGGCCGCCTACGCCCTGCCCGGTGTCACCCATAGGACCGAGGACCCCAGAGCGCCCCCACAGACCGCAGCCCAGGTCACCCCATAGCTCCCAGCACCCCCCACTGCCTCGTACCCCCTAGGGCACCAGAGCACCCCGGACCCCCATAGCCCCCCCCACACCGGGCCGTCTGCCCCCCCGTAGCTCCCCACCCCATAGGGCTGCCCCTCACCTCAGGCCCCCTCCGGGTGGCGTGGGGATGAGGGGCGGGGTCTACGCGGGAGGGCGGTGCCTCCCCGGGGGCGGGGCCTCCCCGCGGCCTCAGCCCCGCCCCCTCCGTCCCGTACACCGCCGGGGTGCCGGGGTCCCGCTCCCTACCTGCCCCCGCGCCTCGCGCACCACGTGACGCCGCCGCCGCCAACCGGCGCCCGCCGAGCGCGCGCGTCACCGGTCACGGGGCGGCGGCGAGGACGGGCTCGCGAGCGCGGAGGCCACGCCCCCTACCGGGGCCACGCCTCCTCCGTGCGCGCGGCGGGGAGGAGCGTGGCTGAGGGGCGCGGGGGCGTGGTCCGAAGCACGGGGGCGGGGCCCTGCGTTGCCAGGGAGACGCCCCCCGCTGCGGCCCTGGGTGCCGGTCCCGCGGCCCCGGGTCCCGCCGTCCCCCGCTCCGCCGCCGGGCCCCGTCCCGGCTGCCGGGCCCCGCCATGGCGCCCGTCCCCGCGGCGCGAGGGGCCCCGCGTCCCGCTCCCTGCGCCGCGGGCGCCCCGCGCCTCCCCGCGGGGTCCCAGCCTGGCCGGGATCTGCCCCCTCGGGCCATGCCGGTGCGGGAAGGCGCGGGAGCCGCCCCGGAGCGGCCCCTGTGGGACCCCCATGGCCCTGCTGCCGCCTCGCGGCCCTACCTCCAGGGAGGGCTTCCCGCTGCCGGCCTCCGGGCCGCCGGCCTCCATGCTGGGTCGCCCCGGGGCCGGGCCAGCGCGGGCGGCCGCCCACGAGCCGGGCCGCAGGGAAATGAGCTTAGGTCTCATCCGCGCGCTAATCCGGCGGCCGAGGGGAGAGGCGCTGGCGTGGATCCCGGCTCCTGCTGCGGCGCCGGGCAGGGCGGCCCGGCCCCCGCCGCGCCGCATGGGGCACGCGGGGACACCCCACCTCCCTGGTGGTCGCCGTCCCCAGGGGGGACACGGGGCCCTGTCCCCGTTCAGCAGTGTCTCGCGTGGGACGTCGTGAGGGACCCAACCGGCACGGTCGTGCCCCGCACATGGGTTGCACAGTGGGAAGGATGTGGGAGACAGAATGTGGGGGACAGGAGATGGTTTGGGGGATATCCGGCCATGCCCAGCAAGGTGACATTTTGGGGCACAGGAGACGGTTTTCGGGACATGTCCATGTCCACGCTGCTTGGGACGAGGGCCCCAGTGTGCCCTCCCCCGCCCCCCAAAATCTCGTTCCCGCCCTGTCTTGGGCCTCGCGGGCCGCCGTCGCGCCCGGCTTGCCCTCAGTCAGCATGGCGGCGCGGCCTCGCTCTCCCGCTCCGCGGCACTTCCGCCCGCATGCGGGGGGCGGGGTCGCTGCGCCGCGGGTTGCGCGCGCGGCGGCAGCTCCGTACGTGGGGGGGGGGGGTCCCGGGGACGCTCCCGGTGCGGGGATCCAGGGGGACCCCGTGGCAGGGCCGGGGGCTCATAGGGAGTCTGGGTGGGGGCTCCGGGAGGGTCCCCAGCGGCTTCCCGGGGCTCCGGGGCGCTCATGGGTCCCGGGTGCAGAGCCGGGCGGCGCCCGGGGCGGAGGGGCCGGTCCCGGGGGCGGTGCCCGGGGCAGCCCCGGGGAGGGGGCGGCGTGGGGGAGGGTCCCGCCGCAGCCGCCGTTTCGGTTTCGTTTCCGCCTGCAGCCGCCGCGCGCCGGAGCGGCGCCACTTGGTGCTTCAGGTCACCGGCAGCAGCGGGCACGGCGGCACCATGAACGGTAGCACCGTGCGGGGCGGCGGCACCGGGCAGGGCAGCACCGTGTGCGGCGGCACCGGGCAGGGCAGCACCGTGTGCGGCGGCACCGGGCACGGCRGCACCRTGMRSGGYAGCACCGTGCGGGGCGGCGGCACCGGGCAGGGCAGCACCGTGTGCGGCGGCACCGGGCAGGGCAGCACCGTGTGCGGCGGCACCGGGCACGGCAGCACCGTGCGGGGCAGCACTGTGCGGGGTAGTACCGTGCAGGGCAGCACCGTGCGGGGTAGCACCGTGCGGGGCAGCACCGTGCGGGGCAGCACCGTGCGGGGCAGCACCGTCCGCGGCAGCACCGTGCGCTGCGTGGCGGCGGGGGCCACGCGCCGTAGCCCGGGGGCCGCGGGGCAGCGCTGCCCGGGTGAGCGCTGGGGACGGCGCCGCAGCGGTTCCTGCCCCGCCGTGCCCGGCCGCCCGCTCCTGCTGCACCGGCGCCCTGCTGCGTCTCGCGGCAGTGGTGGCAGCGGCTCCGTGGGGCTCCTGAGCACGGCCCTTGTCCGCAGCAGCCTGGGAATGGCGCCGCGCTCCGGCGTTCCCGGACTCCTCCAGCGAGGAGGAGGTGTGGAGCGGCCACAGCCAGGACGGCGGGGACAGCCGGCCCGGCTACACCTTCTGCGGCCTCAGGAGGTCCTTCCTGTGCAAGGAGCCGGCGTCCGCCCGCCCGCCGCAGCGCCCCTTGGACGCCAAAACGCGCCTTCCCGGCGGCTGGAGGCAGCCGCTTACGGCCGAGGTAGCCGAGCCCGAAGAGCTGCTCCTGGGCTCCACGCTCCCATAGATCCCCATGGGCGCCCTGTGTCTTGCCCGTCACCTCCCCCCCGTGCAGCCCAACGTCACCCCATGTCCCCCGTGCTCGCGAGGCCAGGACCGAGGAGTGGGGTGCAGGGCACAGGCTCCTCTCCAGCCTTCGCGGGGCTCCTGGGCACGTCCCGGGCGGCAGGGCTGCGCTTTGTGCCCATGGAGCCGCCAGGAGCCGCGGCCTCCCGCCCATGGGGCGGCTTCCGAGCCCCCCTGCAAACAGCACCGGCCGCAGCGGGTCCCGCGCCCTCCGCTGCACGGGGCGGCACCGGCACCGCTCTCCCCTCAGGAGGCCGAGAGGAACGCGGAGGAGCTGCTGGCCGAGGAGGAGCGCGTGAAGAGGAAGGCTGAGAAGAAGAAGCTCAAGAAGAAGGTGGGGGGCTCTGCCCAGAGTCTGGCACCCCAGCCCTGTTTCTTCCCTTCCTAACCCTGCGGGGTGCCCTGGGGCTGCAGCGTGTCGCCCCGGACAGGGCTGCCCCCGCTTGCGCTCCTCCTCTTAGGCTGGGATGAGGAGCAGTGGCGCGAGCTCTGCCTTGGGTCTGCGCTGCTTTGTGCACCGCTGGATCACAACTTTCCCTGTGGTTTCCAGAGACAGAAAGAGCGGAAGAAACAAGAGAAGTTGCTGGGAGCGCTAGGGAGCAAGGAGGAGGCTGAGGCAGTGAGTGGCTGCGAGCCCCGGGCCGGCCGGCTGGGCCCTGCTGCACTCTTCATCCCCCGCCACGCTCTTCATCTCCCCACTGTGCTCTTCATCCCCACCGCACTGTTCATCTTCCCCCGGGCGCTCTTCCTCCCCCTGCGCTCTTCATCCCCCCACGCTCTTCATCCCCGCATGCTCTTCCCAGGCTCCGTCGTCCCAGGACAGCGCTGCTGGCAGCCGTGCCGAGGAGCCCGAGGGCTGCCCGGAGCCCGGCGCCCCTGGGCGCCCTGCGGAGCCGGCGGGAGCGGAGGAGCTGCCGGAGGTGAGGGGTGTTCGTGGGCGGCGGGCGCTGCGGGGGCTGCGTCCGCGCGGCACTGCCAGCCCCCGTCCGTCC